CTTTGCCCTGATCACTCACTACCAGCAGGTGGCGCTGCGGTGCAATGAGTTTGAGATGAAGCTGACTGAGCCGGTGCCTCAGACAAATGCCCACGAAAGCAAAGAGTGAGTCCTTACAGTGAACTGACCTTCAGTGATGACAGTGCAGACGCTGACACTTAAGGATTGTGACATTTAAAATTTTTGTTTTTCCCAAGGTGGTACCATGCAAACCTCTCCAGGAGCCATGCTGAGAACATGTTAATGAGGGTTCCTCGTGACGGGGCTTTCCTTGTCAGGAAGAGGGCAGAACCCAACTCATTTGCTATTTCCTTTAGGTAACTCAGTCTGTCATGATAGATTATACCTCAAGTTATTTGTTTACTTCCTTTTAATGTACCAGGAAGAGTGTAGAGAAATACAAGTGGTTGAGTTTATAATTAATCTCACAAATGTTGTTCCTCCACAGGGCAGAGGGTAAGATAAAGCACTGTCGCGTGCAGCAGGAGGGTCAGACCGTGGTGCTGGGCACCTCAGAGTTTGACAGCCTTGTGGATCTCATCAGCTACTATGAGAAACAACCTCTGTACCGCAAAATGAAGCTGCGCTACCCCATCAATGAGGACACACTGGAGAAGATAGGCACTGCTGTAAGTATTGCTATTAAGTTTAAGGCACATTTATTAGAGATTAATAAGAATTTAAAAAATATGACAGGGTTTGTAGTTTGCATTCTGTGGTAAAATCCCCTGCAGCCAAATGAAAAGACCTGTCAACACAATCTGTTCTGTAACAGGAGCCAGACTACGGGTCACTGTACGAGGGCAGGAATCCAGGTTTTTACGTGGAGGCCAACCAAATGCCAACATTCAAGGTTAGAGTTCACATTTGGAATTCAGCACATTTGGAACAATGTGTGTGGTGGAAACTTTGAACAAGTGTCAAAATCATCTGTCTTGTCTTTTCAGTGTACGGTGAGAGCCATGTACGAGTATAAAGCCCAGAGAGACGATGAGCTCTCTTTCACCAAAAGCGCCATCATTTCTAATGTGGACAAACAGGAAGGAGGATGGTGAGTGGCTGGGATAATTAATCATCCATTCAAACACAAGGTCACTGCTACAGACTGCAGTCCAGATCTGGACCTACACACTGTCCTATCCTGACCCAGAGCTAAAACCAATGAATTATTCAGAGACAATAAATGTTGACAGAGCGTTTTCATCTTAATTGCTGCAGCTTTTCTAGGCTCTGGTTTAGCGGCTCTGGTCACAGACCAACTGCATGTGTCGTTAATTATCTCACGTGATGCTACTCGAGTGAGACGAGATGTGAAGAAAAAAACTAAATGAGATATTAGTGCTGTTCGGTTTTTTTGCCAAACAGTATCTTTATTTTTTTAGATAATACACAGATAATACACAATACAGTAATACACACATGCCTATAAAGTATACACACATATCAGTACATGTATTTATCTGAAAATAAACTCATACAGCACAAAAAACAAACAATTACACCCCCAAGCCCCAAAAAGAAAAATGTTATGTTAAACTTTTTTCACACTGAGCTTCTTATTTGACATTACATTTCCTTATTGAGAGGACTTATTTATTATCTCTTAATTCTCCGAACCTCTGCTCACTGGGTGTTTTTTTTATTTAAATTGAACATCCTTGAAACTTAAATTATTGTTGTGTATTATGTGTAATATGGGATATGGGATCTAACAGATACAGGTGTGGGACCATGAGAAGAGCTAAAATCCATTATTGTAAGATCTATTAAGCGTTGTTAAGTTCACATTGCATTTTTCTCTCTCTCTTTCTCTCTCAGGTGGAAGGGCGACTGTGGAGGGAAGAAGCAGCTGTGGTTTCCTGCTAACTACGTGGAGGAGATCAGTCCTTCAGCAGCGGAGCCCGACAGAACTGTGAGGATCAAACACACAAATTGAGAGAATCCTACAGCTACACATTGTATATTTAAAGTGACACCCCCCCTGCACACTGGGAGGTTGGGCCTTGTCGCTCATCTGTCAGTTATCCACGTGCTTCAGAGATGCATGTGTAAAGTGGATTATCACTTCAAACAGGGCGATAACTTATATCTTAATCCTCCTCTTTTGTGTCAAGCAGGAGATAACAGAGAACAGCCCTCTGGGAGATCTGCTGAGAGGAAGCGTGGACGTCTCTTCCTGTCAGATTGGTGAGTGGCCCCTCCACTTCCTGTTCGCCTGCAGGGTTGCAGAGCAGGCAGTCACCTTGCCAGAGGCCAACAAGCATTTTCTGGCCATCATATGCTTGCACATAAACTCAGAACTCTGTTTCTTTAACTGCAGAAGGACACTGTCACCACTTTCTTTACACTTCTGTTTAGTTTTTACTCGTGCTTTTCTCACAGCTCTGTATTCGATATTTTATTGACATCCTTCAGTCCAGTCAATACACAACCCATTAGTGTTGGCAGATGCTGTTCAGGATTGTTGTGGCCTCTGCTAATCAGTTAATACTTGAGCCTGTTTCTGTGTGGGAGGGGTGACTCTCTGGCTCCATCTAGTGGTGTGGGTAAGATCTATGACGCTGAACCTTGAGGCAGGGCTGCTGTGCTCCAAGTTCAAAATGTTTCAACTCAAACACTGTTCACCTCTGACCTTTTGTTTGGAGAATACATCCAATCAAATTGAAGTGAGTTGAGTTGCCAGATTACTTCTCAGTTTGATTTTAATAAATGACATCAGCATAAAGTTAACCAGAGCTGCGATGGTTTGTCGGTACATTGATTAGTCGATCAAATTTAATTATTGAAATTGTTTTAAAAGTCAAAATGCCAGTCGATGGTTCCAAGTCTGTAAAAGTAAGAATTCGCTACTTTGCTTTTTATGACTTTTGGTCAAAAAAGAAAAAACAATTATTTCAATTTCTGATATTTAATAGACCCAACAATTAAATGGTAAATCATGAATAGAATTAACAGATTACTTGATTATAAAGATTATCATTAGTCGCGGCTCTAAATTTCTGTCCAAACCAGAGGCAAGTGAAGCTCAGGCCAGTCATCATTTGCAGAAAGCAGTATTTTCTCTCCATACCTGCACCAGTTCATACATGTTGTATTTTCTTCTTGCTCTAGATGTTCAAATTTTCTGATATAATATGTATAACATGTATAATAAATTGAATTTGTTATTATAGCTGCGAGTAAATCATTTCACATTTGGATGGCTGGAGGAAAATAGTCATCAAGTAAAAATAAGAAAGAGGAACCCATATTTTTTGTCCTCTTCTCTATTTTCCTAACCATTTTCTTTTTCTTCTCTTCAGTTGTGCGTCCTGATGGGAAAGGCAGCAGGCCCCACGTCTTCTCACTTGTGCCCAATGCCTCCATGCGGACGGGCCCAGTGCTGGACGTTGCTGCCAGCAGCCCAGAAGAGCTCAAGGAATGGATGTTCAAAATCCGTGAGGTCACCGTGACTTCAGAGGCAAAGGTAACTATACTGTGTAAAGTGGCAGACAGGAAATGCGGGCCAAGACTTGCTCATGCCACAGTGTGGGTTCAAAGAGCCAGTCATGACTTGCACTTACCCTGTAATACCCCTCACTTGTATTTAAGAAACACTGATTAAGCAGTGAGCACATGCGGTATTTCTCAGCAGGTACACACACCCTCACCTGGAAGCGCTTTTGTTTTGCTCGGTAGAATCACCTGAGCAATAGTTGTTGGGAAAAGAACTGATCCTCAGGCAAGCATCAGCTGATGTGAGGAGAGAGCCTGGTTTAAGAACCTCAGACTTGCGTCATTGCTCTTTGCAGATGTGGTTCTGTTGACTTCATCAGAGGGTGACCTTCAACATGGCCTGGGGTGGTTTGCAGCCAAGTTTGAAGCATTCAGGATGAGATACTGCAGTCCATATGCTAGTCCAAGGCCTTAATTCTCTGCCTAACCGTGGATTGTTCCCTCGGGTTTTGGAGTGAGTTGCTGCCCCACGTGAAGGTGTTTTTCACAAGTGAGCAGAGGATGGAGCAGGAGATGGACAGGCGGATCAATGTGGTGGACCTTTGTGTTGAAGAGGGAGCCACGCCTTAAGAAAAAGCGCACAAATGACATAAGTGAGTTTTCTCCATAGAGTAGCTGGGTTGTTCATTAGAGATCCGTTGAGGTGGTTCGATGCCTCCTGGGCGCCTTCCATCGGAGGTTTTACGGGTATGTCCCAACTGGGAGGAGACCCTAGGGTAGACCCAGAACTTGCTGGAGGATTTATACACCCATTTACCCGGTGACTGTCTCAGGATCCAGTCCAGGAGGAGCTGGAATGACACTGCTGATGACCCATCCTCAGATCAATAGAAGATAAACTGTACATTGCTTCTTCTGCAACAAAGAAGCAGGTGTGTGTCTGTTCGTCTCTGTGGCTCTTCACGTAAACAGATGATCACGTGTATTTAGTTGTTAATCAATGATGTCTGATCATGAATCCAGATTGTTCCAGAGGTTAACTGCAAGTGATGAAAGATGTTTAAACGTGTGTCTCATAAACTCTCGAGTTAATCAAACAAACACAAAGTAAACTTCAAGTCCTGTACGTTTCCTAAGAACTTCTGATTAGGGATCGTGTTTATTGTTAAAGTGAGCGCAGGTCAGTGGTGGAGGGAGGATATGCAGCAGGGTAATAAGGCACGGTACAAGGACGGGAAACCCAACAGTTCATTAATGCACACATTGGGGAAAGTATTAACAGAACTCACCGGTTTCAATACATTTCCGGTTAATTGCCCATCAGCCCCAATTTAAAGTCGTCTCTCTGCACAGCTGGAAGAGGGGAAGATGATGGAGAGGAGGAAGAAGATTGCACTTGAATTATCCGAGCTGGTCATCTACTGTAGGCCTGTGCCGTTTGATGAAGACAGTAAGATTTACACACATTCATTTCACACCTACGACACAAATCAATAGTCACATGTCCGATACCAGTACAGGTAGGTCAGGTCTGTCCTTCTCTCCCTGCCGCCTCTAGAAATTGGCACAGAGCGGGCCTGTTTCCGGGACATGTCATCATTCCCAGAGACCAAGGCAGAGAAATACGTCAACAAGATCAAGGGGAAGAGGTTCCTGCAGTACAATCGACTGCAGCTGTCCAGGATCTACCCCAGGGGCCAGAGACTAGACTCCTCTAACTATGACCCGCTTCCAATGTGGCTCTGCGGCTCCCAGCTGGTAGCGCTCAACTTCCAGACCGCAGGTACCGTATCTACCGTCTGTGTCAGAGCAGCCACACAGTGTAGACACAACACTTTCATTGACTTACCTCTTTCCCACATGCAGACAAGCCCATGCAGATGAACCAGGCCCTGTTCATGTTGAACGGAAAGAGCGGCTACGTCCTACAACCGCCCATCATGAGGGACGAAAGCTTTGATCCATTTGACAGACATACGCTACGGGGCCTTGATCAAATCACTCTAGAGATAGAGGTACAGTAATGCAAGGATCCGACTGCGTGTTTGCATGTGTGATGCTAGAAATAGAAACTAACTCACAGTTGTATTTATGTGCTGAAACAAGTGAGAAGATCTAAATCAGTAACTTCGTCTCCTCTCCAAAGGTTTTGGGCGCGCGGCACCTGCCCAAGCACGGACGTGGCATTGTTTGTCCTCTGATCGAGATCGAGGTGTGCGGAGCAGATTATGACAGCGCCAAGCAAAAAACCGACTCGGAAGGTAGGAGCTGTTCTGATTGTTGCCAAGGGTCAATGAGTTGTTAGTGTTTACTGGATACCTCATGTAGTTTCCTGTCTGGTCCTAGAAAAACAGGAAGTTGTACAAAACAACTGAGCCATGTGTGGGAACAAAAAGGGAAACACGGTGTAGACGTAGTTCTGATACAGCTCTCGTCAGAGTTTATTGTTTGGTTTTGGAATTGCATTTGCAAATTTTGGTTGTTGTGCCAAATGAATGAATTATTTATATATAAGAAATACAATATGAATTGCTTTCTGGAGAAATGAAATGCACTAATTACTTTTATCTTCATGCTTTTCTGTATCTGAGGATGGTTCATTGCTCAGAATTACTTTTTGCAGACTTTTTCTCTCCCTCTGTTTTTCTTCACTCGTCTACATTCAAACTGAGGAAAATATCTGTTTAGACAAGGCGTTAATGTGATTTGGCCGATGTGAGGTTTTCCCACAGATGTAGGGACACATTTATTTAGGAGTTGGCAGGTTGGACAGTACATTCTGACCTGAGCACAACCAGCATTATGTTGTGATAGTTTTATGTGTTCACTTAAATGAGGATGTCCAGCATCCTCTTCTGTTTTCTTCTTTTTATTTATGCTCCTCTCTGGAAGTGGAAAGAGTATTTTTTTTCTGAGGAATTTTTTCAAAATCTATGACGCATAATACTAATTATACTGTAGTATACTTCTGAGGAGTTTCATACTGTGTCATTAGTTAAAGATGCTGTTACGACAGAAACAACACCATATTTAATATTTCTCTTCTCTTTCCATTTGACTTTTTTTGTGTTCTGCAGCTGATAACGGTCTGAACCCTACGTGGCCCCAGAAGCCCTTCCAGTTCGCGGTTTGCAACTCTGCATTCGCCTTCCTACGCTTTGTGGTTTATGAGATTGACATGTTCAATGACCAAAATTTCTTGGCCCAGGCCACATTCCCGATTCATGGTCTGAAGACAGGTACACGCAAAGATAATTTCCTCTCTGACATGACCAACGATCCCACTGCAGCAAATCTGTGCTGTAACCAAAGTCTTCATGTGTCACCAGGTTACCGATCAGTACCTCTGAAGAACAGCTACAACGAGGACCTGGAGCTGGCCTCTCTGTTAGTCCACATGGACGTCATCACAGGCAGGGTGAGCTACTGTTTATCACCGAGCCGATCCTAAAGCTGCTCCATGATGTTGTCACTATCAATAAACACTTCGAGCACTCACATACAAACATAAAGAAAACATGGGGACTCGAGCTCCACTGGTTTTATCACATGACTGGTGATTTCCTGAACTCACCAAAAAACAGTACAACAAGTAACTGACTGTAAAAACTGTTGGTTAAGCCCTTAAATCATTTTAAACGAGAACTGCAAAACAAACTCTGTCTTCAGTCTCAACAACAACCCAAAAATAGTAGCCAGACTTTCATCATTGTGTCATGTAATTCTCAGCTAGAATGTCAAAATATTCTGAGCGTGCATGCTATTGCTAAAGGAAATGGTCTAAATCTTATATTTTACTACAAAACCATGAACACTTGAATTCTGGAGTTGACACGAGAATCATCTCCGTCCTCCTTGTTCTCTCAGGATGAGAACGGAGAGGTTCTGAGCCCGTTTGTTGGGGTTGGGGCCACATCAGTGTCTGCATCCGCCCAAGCAGGCCGGGAACGGCTCGGGGACTTGAGCTCTGTGTCTTCGACCTCCTCCAGCATGTCTGCTCTGCCCCAGTCACCGGCCCAGGCCATGGCCTACACAGGGAGGGAGGGTCCCTTTGAATCCCGCTACCAGTCCCCTCTGGACGACTTCAGGGTGCCCCAGGAGACCCTGCTGGACCACATGGACGCTCAGAACAGAGGGTAAGTGTGAGCTGTGCTGCTTTTTGGTGCGTGCAAGGACTTTGGGAGCGCGGAGAAGATTCTAGAAGTCCTCCTCCTGTCTTTGTCTCCACCTCAGGAATTTGCGGAGGACCCGTGTGGGCGGAGAGAACCGTGTCTAAGTCCAAGGCAATCAGGACGAATTTCTGTCGCACCCCCCCACCGCCATCATCACCTCAACCTCCCTTACTCCTCCTCCTCCTCCCCCTGTCGACTCCCCCCGTACCAATGATGTCACTGACTGCTGTGAACACTGTTTCCATGGAAACGCCCACCACCGCTTTGGCCTACATTTCAGGCAGCTCTCCCTCCCTCCATTTTCCAACACCCACCCCTCTGTCTCTCTTTCTCTCCCCCTTCTCCCTCTCTCTCTCTCTCTCTCTCTCTCTCGCTCTATCCCCGGCCTGCCTCCTCAGCACTCGCCTGAGGAGGAGAAGCGACTCGGACATAAGAAAAGAGGAGGGGAGGGGGGGGCGCCGCGAGGAAGCTGACCACAGCGGACAGGAGGAAGAAACGGGACATTCACAGGAGAACAAACACAAGGCTGAACGAGTTCCAGCTCTGGACGGGTCATTTGCGGTGCAAGTCGTCCTCTATTGTGTATTAAGTGTGCACAACAGCTGCTTAGTTAGGAGGCTTAGAGGAGGGACAGAGACGGAGCTCAAAGAGGTATCAGTTTGAAACTGTCTCCCAGTTAACTTTCTTTGATCTACTCTATTTGGCGTATATGAATATATATATTTATTCCTGCTATGCTGTTGGCCAGAGAACAGCTGCAGCTGACCTGCTCTCAAAGAGCTCCTGTATCCATGTTTTTAATTATTATAATTATTTAAACCTTTAGACATTCATAATGTGACTTTTTTATGTATATGTGTAAAACATGAGGGCTCTCTATGGCTATTTTTAACATTTCTCTCCTCTTTGCTTTGTGGAGGAATGAGTCTCCAGTCTGACACCGTAATCCTGGAGGGATTTTACATTTTTATTTTTACTGTCTTTTTTTTTCTTTTTCGGAAAGGCATCAGGAAGAAGTCATAACCTGTTGTTGTTGTTGAAGCAGTGGGAGAGAAGGCAGCAGCTCATGTTGTCTCTGAACACACTCAAACACACATAGTCCTTTTTATTTCTTCTAATTTACATTCCAAAACAAACTGCACATCATTCCATGTTCCTGCACTGCAGACGCCTTCGGAAGCCACACGATGTTCAAACATCTGTCTCACTCACTTTCAGTCTTACTCTGTAATGATCACGTCTATCTGAAACCTCAGTCCTTGTTAAAGCAGGACCAGGGACACAGTTTGACCCGATGAGGGATCATGTTCCGAGTGTGTAATGATTCTTGTTTTCAGAACGTTTTTTTTCTTGCTTGTATCGTCTCCCTGTGTTTTAATGGCAGCAAACTTATCTCATCAATCGAGAGGGAGTTCAAACGACTGCAGGTGAAAATGAAAATACTGGTTTCTTTATTTTTTTGGAATAACAGAGGTTCGAGGAAAACATTTAATTTTCATTTACCGGGAACGTGGTAAATGTTTCACCTTCATCTTTACACCATAAATTAATATTGGAGTTGTAGATTGTAGCACAGTTACACGTTTAACTGTGCAGCCACGTGTTCCCCGTATTAATAATTGAATGTTTTGTAAATGTAGATATTTTTACTCACATTTGTATCTTCAAAACAAAAGCGATGGCCCCTTAATTCCATTACTGTGACACAAGTATGTTTTAGTACCAACAGACGTCTAAGCAAAGGTGATGCTCTGCAACCAGCTTGAATTCTAAATTTGTCGACAAACTCTCAAAGTGAGAAGGTTTGCGTTGCCAAAGTGAGGTGTTGGCCATATTGTTTTGCAGCACCACACAGATGTAGGGAACTGTGTTTGTGCTGCCGTTATGTTCTGGTGAGTTTTGTCACTAAGCAGCTTCCCAGTAACCTGTGTGGGATTTTAAGTTCCAGTGCCACGAGAAACAGTTAAATTGCCACTGACCATGAATTTATTTGCGATGAAAGCTGAAACTTGGTGAACGCTGCACTTAACAATTCATCGGCCACAACTTCAGACCCTCGTTCCGCCTCCGACTTGCAAATGTTCAGACTTCTGTTGGGGGGAAATGTTGGTTTCCTGTGTTTGGGAGGAACAGGCCGAGCCGGAGCTTCAGACTTGGTTGTAGCTGTTCTGTGGCTGATGAGTGATAAAATGTGCCTGAGGGAGGGGGGGCAGGAGGTCTGGGTCTCCATATAACTGACGGTGTTACTTTTGCAGGTTTGTATCAGAAACAGTGTTTTCTCTGTGTGATGATGATATATGATGTAAACTCAGTATTCCCGCTCAGTGCTTAAACACTGAGACACACCTAAGCCATATGGTATGATTTAAGGTAAAAGCAGGGACAGGAGTGAATGCTTAAGGACTCATTGAAACTTTTTTGGCATTTTTTTTTTATATATTTGCGTGCCATTATTAATCCCAAAGTTCCTCCATACTACATTTACTTCTCCAGCAGTCCATGAATGGTTTTTAATTTTTTTATTTTGCGGAGAGCTCTCCCTCTAGTGCTGCATTTCTCTTACTGTCTGCTAACATCTATACGTGCCTCCATCTTTGTACACATCACATTAAAGCCTCATCATTAACGTGCCCCGCTGGGCGTAAGAAGCACCTGCACAGCCATGGTACACCCACCCAGGTGTCGTCTCTTCATTTTCACTGGTTGGACTTCCTGTCAGCGCTGCGTGAGCCGCACGTACGGACCGTGTTTGGTTGACATGTCCCTGACTCTCCTGTTGTTCTTGTTGCGGGAGCGTAAAGAAGTCAAACCAGACAGAATGACAAGGAGAGCCTGTGTGTGGGTGTGTTTGTACAAGGCCCTTAAGTGTCATTAGTTTTTTTTTTGTTTTCAATCGTGTCTGTTCCGTTACTGACAGTCTCATTTACAGTCACCTTTCTGTAACGTGCCTAAACTATGGAGAGGAAAAGTATTCATTTTAATTTTGCCTTTCATATGAAACATATTCAAGCCTGAAAAGTAAATAAAATACTTACTACTTTATACTACTTTGTCTTCTTTTCCTAAATATGTCGTTCAAGTGCAGACAGAGCTGGTTACATGTGCACGAGATGCTGCAGCACAGGAAGAGAGGGCCAAGGTTTCAGTTTCACAGCCTGAGAGTATGTCGCTGAGCTGTTGTGGTTTTAAAATGATGAGCTCATAGAAATTATTCAGGCAAAGTGTTAAATGTTGCCCAGTGTCAACTTCTGTGATGTGAGGATTTCTGGGTTTCCCCGTCCTGTGTGATAATTTTAACATCTTCGGGTTATTAAGTGTGAGTCAGAAACAACAAGCAACATCTGTGTGGCGGCCATTTGTAGTTATAGATTAGAGGAGACAGGAGAAAGAATTTAATATAAAGTATAGATAAAGTATTGATATTCTTCTTCTACAGGTACAGAGGAATAAGATCATAAAACTAGTTACTGGGATTCATTTATTGGTAGTTTAGATTTTTTTCTGTAGGATCTGACCAATGTTAAATATATCCCGTGATAAAACCATTTAATTAATCAACATTTGTACGACTACACTTGGAGAAGTAACAGGTCAATGACACTCGAAGACGCAGATTTATTACATTCCTTTTATTCTGCAAATACCGTCTGTAAAAATTATACATCAAGCCTAAGTATGGAACTCTGGAAAAGTTCACAGTTGTTATACAGTCAAATTTATTTCATTATAAAGTTCCATAAAAACAAATGTACGTACACGTCCAGTGACGTAGAGAAGAAGCACTTGATGCTACAACACAAACCAGATTCCATAAAGTCTAATATATCGTTTTATACACAACAGGGTGGCTTGACCTCTTTGGATGAAACTAATTCTAAAGTTTCCCCTCTTCTGTGTTAATTAAGAAATGAAAAGTGAGTATAAAGAGATGTCCAAAAAAAAACTATTCAAGGCAGGATCGAATGAACGCCAGTGCTGTGTTTCACATAAGATGCTAACAGCCTAGCGAGCATGTTCAGCTGCAAGCATGAAGTCAAAGTGTGAGTGCATGGTGGGGAAAAAATGAAGCATGATATTGACCCAATGGGAAAAAAGAAGGTTCATGTTTCTTTTACTTTAAGGCCCCGGCAAGCCCCCTGTGGCAAAGAGCTGTGTGGTTTCTCGTACCCCGAAACAAACTATGAACAGTGTCTCAGACGATCCGGGTCCGAGGGTTGACTTGGTCGATATCTGTCCGAACCCAACCCACCATCCCCCAATGGACATCTGCTGTGAGGTCTCAATCCCTGACCACACCTCTTCCTTTTTAAATCCTCCTCTTCTTCCTCCACATTTTGTTTTTCTTCTGTTCCACTCCAGCAGGAGGTGTAAGACAACCCCTCACCCCTCCCTCCACCAACACTGGATCTCAATTTCTACTGGAACCTCTGTCTGGAGGTAAAATGGTGGAAGGAGAGATATTGGAGAGGGGGTTGTGTGTAGCAGAGGGGTAGACAAGGAGATGGAGGGACAGTGGGTGTGTAGGTGGATGGATGGATAGAGGGTGTCAATCTCACGTAGCGGGGGGGGGGGGTCATGCCTACCTCTAGGGGTGAGAGAGGGGGAGAGAGATGGATGGGTGGGTGGGTGTGTGGGGATGGTTTCAAGGTCCATTTCCATCCAGTGATTCTGTTACAACCACATCTGCCATCTTTTACTCAGACTCCCGACACAGAGACCACCTGTCGTGAACTCCGTCCTCTGATGAACAGCCTCTTCAGTCGGTTCCTGTAGCAACAATACAAAACGAAGAGAAATTAAAAATCCATCAGCCAGAAAACGAGACTTTACTCTGAAGATTATACCGAGCGCCGGTGTCAGACACAGTGAACCTCATCACACACAATCGTGATCGTTCAGTCTCTGTAACGCTTCTATACAAAAATAAATAGTTACCCGTACCTGAGGTCTGGTTTGCAGCTGCATTGATTACTTGCTCACTTAATTGATTAGTTGATCCAAAGAAATGTAAACATCCAAACAACTTTATTTTAATAAATCATTTTGATACTGGATTCACTTATCAAAAAAATGATCTAGCTCCAGTTTCTGGTGGCGTTTTTGAAACATAACACATTACTTAAGAAGTCTGTGATTAAGTCCACACATTTACTTGAAACTTTAGCAGTGGACTTTTTCGTCATGTCCTGCCTCCGTGCCTGAATGTTTCAGAAACGTTCCTGTTGTTATGAACACATCAGACGGGACAATCTTCTGCTGCATTCTTCATTTGTGAACGGCAAAGTCCAGAAAATGTTTGCACCCAATTTTGTCAGTTACACGTTACAGTAACCAGTAACGAGTCATTACATTCCCAGTAATGACTCGTTCACCTTATGATCAATATTTTAACAGAAGGTTAATGTCAGTTGGGTTTCAGTGGACAAACTGGTCCATGATGTGGTTAAGGTGTGGTGCAGGTGAAAGCCTCTACCAGAAAGGGAGAAATGCAACTCCAGGAAGTTGACGTTGACATTGACTGTTGTGTGTTCTTCCCTGGCTGATGTGGCAAAGGTTAGTCAAAGCTACAGCAAATAAAGAGTCGCCTCTTTTTATCCCAACCCTCGTCTGGTAACAATCTAGCGAGGGACATAATTTCTGCATGTATCACATTAGAGACACTTAAGACTACCTTTAGTAGGATTCACAGTCTCGTCAGTGTTGGCCTCCTCTGCGTCTGTTTTGACACCACACACCGACTGCTCCATTTTCTCCTCCGTTCCTCCTCCTGGCTGCGACTCCAGAGGGGAGGAGCCTGTTGTTTGTGGCTCGGCGGCCACGCCCGGTGCAACTGGGCCTGGTCCCGTCACAAAGGCAGCAACAGTTTGTTCCGTCTGTGGCAAAGAGGCCTTGGTGGAGAACCAGTGTCGCACCAAGTCTGTTGTTAAACCGCTCGCGTCAGCCAGTCCCTGCAGCTGTGTGGGAAGAAGAATGTGTCAGTTCAAAGCCGCACATTAACAACTTTGATCACAAATTATAAAAGACCTCATTTAATAACAGAATACCAAACTCACACAGTAAAGTCAGTGACACAGTGTCATCTATCTAAAGTTAAGTAGCCATTTTATTAGTTACGACTATATTATCTAATACAGTGCTGCCACATGTTTTAACTATATTGTTATTACTCAGGTCATAGTCAGAAGAATTAAGAATGCCTTTATTGTCATTGAACAGGGCGTACAATGAAATTATAGTGCCACTCCTTTAGTCCAAAAATACTAAAAGTAAAAAAGAATTTATTATTTGCAATAGGGGAAATTGACTCCTGGTTTCTGTGAACACATTGGGAAAATATAAGAAACACCTCTCATATAAAAGTCCAGTTCAATCTGTGCAAATTACAAACCTCAATAAACACACATTTAATATCTCTGACAGTATCATTTATATGTGAGCTGCTGTACTCGGTTCCATTTGATTTTATAGGTAATGAAGTGATACATCCACTGCAAATAGTACAGAACAAAAACATTTAAACTTCCATCTGTGAGATGTATCCTACTTGTTCTTGTTTATAAAGACCACCTGATCAAGTCACCTTCATCTAGTTTTATATTTCTGTTTCAATTCAATCTGAATCATAAACTTCGTGTGTGTGTGTGTCTTTTTACCAAACATCCTGACAACCACGTAAAAGGAAACAATCAAATAAACAGATTATTTACTGACAGATTGATCAGAGAAAACCTAAAAACCTTTTTTTACTTTTATATACTGTAGTCAGTGATACTATGTGTTTGTATTCTTCTTTATTTTTCTGCATAAGCAGCTGTTACATTTCAGTTTCCCATCATCCCACTGAATCAATATAGTTGATTGTCCACCTTTGTTGCTAAAATGAGAACACATAATTCGATAGCGTAAAATAATTTGGCCATTAATAAAATTCACGGTTTGTGCTCAATATCTCCCCTCTAGTAGAAGTCTTTGAATATTTTCATTCAAAATCTTGCAGAGGCACTCCGACTCTGAAAAAATCTTAAATATTACGTACTTGGCCCTGGGCATTTTGATATATCAACCAACCACCCTGTCACCAACCATGGAGCTTCCAGGTGTCATTTCTAAACCAGAACACCATCACCTCTATGAACAAAAGCGTGTGACACTTCAAGTCTCGCACCAAGTAAAATATATATAAAGAAAAAGAGATAGTCATTTCAAAAGATTAAATTTAAAGTCAGACACCCGAGAATCATTGCGAACAAAACTGAATGAAGAAATCATTCATCAAAAGCATTCAGCAAGAAAAATTGTGGTTTTTCTTTTTTTTGTGGCTCCCTATTCACTTGCAAGCCCCAAAAATAACCTCTGCCAAACATGGAGAAAAACAACTGTGGCTTTGCAGCAGTTGAGAATGTGCATCTTAAAAAAGTAAAGCAACAATGTCAACATGACTTTCTAGAGCAATATGTTTTATCTAATACGAGCACATTTTATCCTGCAGTTCAGTGAACATAAAACTTTTATCCCGGCGGCACATAATCATCACCTGCCTCTCAGATTTCAGAGACACTGAGCTGCTCAAAGAAAATGCTGAATGTAGTTGTCAGTTACCTGCGTCTCCTCCAGTCTCCCGTGTACGTCGACATGTGCCTGGAGAATCTTTGTGTTCTCTGTCTGGAGTTCCTCCTCTAGAGCCATGGTCTGGTACGACTCCAGCCACTTCAGCTGGCCGTTCTTCTGCACATACCGGGAGTCCCCAAACCAGCGCACCACCTCAGGTCTGGGCAGTCCCGTTGCTGAGATGAGCTCATCGTACTGAGCAGCACTGGGCCACTGGGTGCGTGCGTAGACTAGTTTGAGCAGGTGAAGCTGCTCCGCTGTCTTCTTGCCTCGGAGGGTTGAGGGTTTGGGAGAGTGGGATAATTTGGGTGTAAGGGTGGAGGACTGGGATGGTTTGGGGGTGGAGGATGGTGTGGGGCCTGGGGAGGATGCAAGTGTGCTGCTGGACTGAAGTGGTAAAGCAGAGCTCTCCAACCCTTCGCCCTCCGCTTTGCCGCTGGCCTCTGTCACCTTCAGCATCTTCAGATTAATCTTAATGGGGTTAACTTTCAGTTCTCCAGAACCGTCCTCTCTCTGTCGTTCCTCCCCATCAACCCCCATCTCCTCCTCTCTCAGTGCCCGATCTGCCTCCTCCTTCTTCTTCTCAGCTGCGGCTTTCTTCCTCCTCTCAGCAAACCAACCATGGATCTCCCTTCTGGTCATCTTGGTCTCAGATCGCAGTCTGTCCACTTCTTCTCCAGATGGGTCCGGGTCCTCGGCAAAACTGGCCTCTAGTGCCTTTAACTAAACATGATACAGATGAGGAAAAGGTCAATACTTTGAACAAGTACAGCTAATAGATTGATGGGCTTGATTAACTGATTAGCTGCACAACTGCAAAATGAATCTGCAGAAGTTATTTGTCAAACAAAAATACAAAAACTGTCACTCATAGCATCTTTTCTATTGTAAGTATGTGTTGCTTTTCTCTGATATATCACTGTAAACTGAGAAACGCTTGGTTTTGGATTCAGTGATACAGGTGTGTTATACTTAGTGGCTAATGTAGGATTTGGCGTAACCTTTTGAACATATGTAGTAGAACTCCCTCTGACCTGTAAACGGACTCTGCAATGTGCATCATATACATTCTGTATTACTTGGATACTTTGCACATGTACTCCTGCATAACCTGTGCTGCCCTGTAACACTTGGTGGAAAATCTTACATATTTTTATTACCTTGACCACCGAGGTTATATTTTCATGGCAATTTGGTGCAGATCCAAAAATCTGGAATTTAAATGTGGTTTCATACTGTTGAGCCTTGGGGTAGGTATCTGCTATACTAGCTGAAACTGTAAATGTATTATCATAAACACAATCACAAACATCTTGACACATCTCCCCAGCTGGATTCATCACGAGCCAATGGGGGGCTTGATGATGCTTCTAAAGTGCGACAGATGCAAAATTGAATAAAAATCCAACAAAAAAATGAAATATTTCCTGGAGAAAAGCGGTGCCATTCAGTTTGTGGTGATAAGTGCCAACGACGGTGTCAGGGTGCTGAAAACATGATCACGTGATCTACGCAGCAGAGTTAATACATCACTTCCTGCCTATGCCTGCACCCAGCTGCCCAACCTCTCACCTGAAAAATGTGGAGTATTTGCTGCTGTTGTTAATGCGTCTGAGCAGAGAACCTCCCACTGTGTTGTGCATGTGTGAAAGGCAAACTCTAGATAAACTCTGGAGCCAATTCTCTGAAATTTTACCCAGAGGTCATGTCTGAAAACGGCTTAAGGGTCTCACCTGATGGGGTTCTCTCTCCTTGTAGCGGATAGCTGTGAAATCTTCAGATGGTTGTCTGGGAAGTCGGCGGGATGGCGTGGTGGGTGAGGTGGGAGTCTGTGTTGCCGTTGGACTCAGGGGTGCAGAGCTGTGTTGGGGCGTTTTTGCTCCAGAGCTGCTGCTACTTTCTGACATGTCAACAGGGTTGGCACTGCCAGCGGCGCCACACCCTGGTAAACTCGAGCCACTCCCTGTTCCAGCTGCAGTGCCAGACTTCTTGCTCGTGCGCACCCCTTTGAGACTGCGAAAGTGGTAGCGCCTGTCACTGAACCACTTGCGAACTTCTCGCACTGTGAGTCCAGTCATAGCAACGAGGCGGTCAACCTCCTCCTGGTCGGGAAACTGGCTGACCTGAAAACTGTCCTTCAGCGCACTGAGCTGCACTTGAGACTTTTTGCTCTTGTAAAAGCTGGGGTCGAGGAATGCGTTGACGGGCGTCCCGGACCCAGACGTGATGCCTGGAGGAGCTGCAGATGAGGGGGAGGGAGATTTGGAGGCAGGGGAAGACGCGTCCTCCATTTTCATATTTAAAGGGTCAATGGGGTCAATGTCATCTGTGCTTGTGTTCCTTGTTTTATTTTTGTTGGTGCTAACATTAGCAACTTTACTCCTCTGTCCATCACTGCTCGTTCTGCCATTACTGTGTTTAGGTTTACTGTCTGTGGTTACTTTACTGTCACTGTGCACAATGCTGGTGTTTTTAGCTTTATCGTTTACATGGCTAGTAACATTACTTTTGCTCTTGTCACTGCAGTCTGCATTAGCACTGCTGTGTTTACCATTGACACTGCTCACCCTGCCATTATTATGATTACTGCTTCCCAGACTAAGGTTGATGACACTAGCTTGACCGCTACTGACAATGCTGTTTGTGCCCCCTCCCCCACTCCTACTACTATTACTGCTGCTAATGATGTGGCTCCCAGTGCTGCTGCTGCTGCCCACCGTCCCCACCACCATGCTGATGCCTTTGTCTGCAACCAGGGCTGCGGCAGGTCGGGCCTGCATCATGGGGCGGGCTGCTGCCTGGGGCTTAGGCGTGACGGCCAGGGCCAAAGGGGTGCTGCTAACCTGGATACCATTGGCCATTACAGGCTGTGTGACAATTACCCCTGCTTGGCTAACAAGAGATCCCTGCAGGATATGAGGGATCCCAGTGGCTCCCAGTGACGCAGGCAGGACTGTGATTGTGTGTTGGGCTGGGCTGTGGTGACTCTGGATTTGGTTATGTGCACTGGAGGGTGCTGTCTGGATGATGGTGTTGAACATCTTCCTCCTGGCCTCCTCGATCTCCTCGGGAGACCAGCTAATGCCTTGTTTAAGTCTCTGGGCTGTGAACCAGATCTTAATCTGCTCTTCTGGGAACTTTGTGACCACAGTCAGGTAACAGAGCTCAGCCTTCGTGGGGTATGGGAACTTACTGAAGGAGGTCTTCAAAAAGGAAGAGGAGTCCATGGAGGCACTGTACGTAGGGATGCTGCTCAGGGGAATCATCACCTGGGAGGGACAAAGATGAAAATGAGAGTAGGAGATAATTATGTTATTTGATATCCAATTCATTTCAAAACAGTGAGATATAAAATATAAATAACAAAACAATTACCTTGGGGAGGTTTTTTGAGGAAGAGGATGACAAATTTGAGGAGACTGTGATCGGTGCAGATTGATGAAAGTTTCTGTTCTGAACCACTGAAACCACCTGTCGTAAACAGATTTAAAATCATCTAAATGAAGGAATATGAACATATTACTACTCAACAGTTAAACTGAAAAACAGAGAGATTGACCGCTAACCTGTGTGATGGGGGTCTTGAGCATTGGTAATGCTCCAGAGCCATTGACTATCTGAATTGCTGAGGGCAGCGTGACCTTGGTGGTTCCGTTGTGGACTATTGTGGGAACATGGGTGACCGTCACTGGAGTGGTCTCTTTTCTCTTAGCCTCTTTGGAGGAAGAGACTGAGAGAGGATCCGATAAAGACTCGTTGGAGACTGGGTGAGGCACCACTATCCGTTTGGGCTCCGACTTGCCCTTCAGCATTCTCATTATTGGAGTCTTGCTTATGGAAATTTCATTGTCCTTCCCAGACTCTGTCCCACTTATCAGATTCTGCTCCACCACAACCCTCCTGTCCCTCTTCCTCAGCTGTAAAGTAGTGTTCCAAGTGCTGGGGTGAACCCTGGCATTGTGCAGGGCCAAACCCTCAAACTTGGGCGCCGAAACCCCACAGCTGAGGCAACAGAAGCTGGGGTCTGCGCGGAAGTCTGGGTGCCCGGTGTACACATGATCCAAGAACAAATTAAGGTCCTGGGTTTCAAAGTTACAAGGCTTACAGGTGTAAGTGCCAGCACAGTCTTTGACAATGTCCCCTGCCTCTGGTTTAGAAGACTCTGCAAGGCCTAGGGGGCTTTGTCTGCCCCCTCCAAAAATCCTGGTCTGACAGAGAAGAGCAGGGAAGTCTTCTTCAGCCTCCTCCAAAGGACGTATCTTGCTGGGTATCATACAAGGAGTAGTTGACTTCCTTTTGCTGGCCATGGTGTGGCCGCAGGGGTGAAAAGGGTTATTCAAACAGGGTGTGAGTGAGAATGTGAGTCGTTTCCGGTTGACTATAGACCAGGCGTGGGGGAAGGAGGACGGTAGAACTCGTCCATAGGTCCACTCTCAGGTCTCACCGCAGTTTTGAGTAAAAACCTGAGAACGAGAAAAGAACATATTTTAGTTCAAGTCATCAGTCACAATAAAATATGATACATTTGTAATTCGTTGAATAGGTTTGTACAAAATGTTTAATTTCAAGAACAGATAAGGAAAGATATTGGACAAGGAGAGACAATTGTGAGAAGAAGGAGTAAGATTGGATATCTCACGTTTGTCAGTACAAGCCAGCTTCCTCACAGCTGGACCAAGATCATGCACAGCTGGATGTTTTCAAGTAAAATATCAACCGCATTGATGATATAAAGGCCCTGTGAATGGATTCAGCTGAAGCCCTTCAAATCCTGAGTTGCTTAAAATGTTTGAGTCTTCCCCTAAACTCTCCAGGCTACCTGTTTTATTAGGGCATTTAAACGTGCCCAGTCTGCTTCTACACTAAAGGCTTTTTGGGAGAGCTCCTGTCCTACCCCGATCTTTCCCCTCCCCCACGTCTCACTTCCCCTCATTCAGACACACCCCCACAGAGAGAGCACATTCTGGGTTTTTTAATCCACTGTAGCTTCACTGAACACCTTTAAAAAAAATCTGAAAGCTACACTTATGAATGGGTTGCTTAATGTAAGGCCTGCTCAACAATTGTGCAAGTGGGTGGTTCAACAGATGTTCTTTGGAAAGTGAGCATTCCCCTCCAAATTGGTACAGACAGAAACGCACAAACCTGACTATAGATACAAATCTTTAAACAATTTCAAATCACCTCCCGATTCCTCGTCTCCATAAAACGGCTTGGCGTAGTTTTCCTCTCTCTCCCTTCCTCCCTCCCTCCCTCTCTCTCTCTGACAGAGAGGTAGTGATGCAGTATCAGAGGATAGCTCTAGGGCAATTACTCTACCAATCACCTTGCACTGACAAGACGCTTCACGCAAAAGGTGGCAAAAAGCCCACACAAAGTTTAAAGGCTTGCAAAAGTTCAACAGGAAACCCCTTAAAACCTCTCTATATCCAGCCGCTCCTTATGCAAAGACATTTTACGAACAAATCCAAACCGTATGCAGCTTTTCTGGTAAATATCTAAAATAATCTTACCCCTTCCTATGTGCAAACAGAGCAATTCCATGCAAATATTAAACATGTCTAGGGCTAATTTCAGATTGAGCACAATGAACACAGTGCCGCTGCAGCACCATCGTCTCTCTCAGGGATCAGTGTCATCATACGACAAATCAGCCTTTCTCCATTTAAATATGAATTGGTCAGTGGCAAATATTGTCTTTCTTCTGGTACCCCCCCAAAAAAACACACACAATTTGCTCTAACCACAGAGAGGTCACAGTACACGAGCTCAAAGCCCAGTTAACCCTTTCAGGACTGGGGTCTGACAGATGCCCTATCACACAAATAACTGAGCAAAGGTACACAGAGTTCACTTCACTGTATTCTGATGCCTACACTTCCAGTTTGAGTTAATAAAACTGCCCTATTCTTCATCAGTATACATATGACATATACCTACATAAATCACCTGCATAAACAATCAGACAACAATGAGATACTTTATTACATGATGAAGACCCTATCGCAGACTGGGCATCTTTTGTTTCACACCACTGACTGACCCCTCTCTTTGGATCAGAGCTTGAGGGGTTAACAGGCAAATGAAGTTTACTGAGGAGGGGACGAGATGCCCCTTGTTCCCCTGTGCAACCCCCCCCAAGAGAGTAACTGCCCTTGGCTGGGGCAGTTGTGCACCCCTCCTACTCCCCCTGCCATTCAGTTCTGCATCAGGGGGCACTGCTCTGCCAAGGCAGGCCGATCACATGACACAACACAAAGGCTTATGGGTGGGCAGCCTGAGCCATCCATCACGTGGTTCCGTTGGGTGTGGGTGGGCAAGCGAGAGGCGAGGAGAGGGAGAGCGAACGGGAGAGGATGGTGGGGGATGGGCAGCCGGTTTGGGGTGAGGAGGCATGGGAAGGAGGGGTGTTAACAGTCATGGAGGAAGCACTGAGGTGTTTCAGTGAGGAATTTTCCTTCATTGATACCCTCCTCCAACCAGCCATCCCATCTCACCCTGCCAACCCCCGCTCTTCCAACGACCCCCTCTTGCTCCAAACTACAATCACAGAGCCCTTCCCTCCTCTCTCCTTCCCTCCCTCCCTCGCTCGCTCGCTCGTCACTGCACTGCAAAGTCTGGAATGTTCCAACCCGAGCTCTTCAGCCAGTGAACATAACCTGGAGTTCAGCCTCAGAGTTTATATCTTCAGACAAATGCATTGCCTCATGCAAAATAACTATCCGTGCTAAAAAAAACTAACAAACAAGTAAACACAGAGTGTATAAAAGCATAAACTTCCCTCATTAATGCATATCGACAGCTGTAAAGACTGCAAAGCCATTTCACACTGATTAAATGTGAGAAATCAAATCACTGTGTGCACACATCTGCCGACAAAGGTTGAGCCTCAGCAGCAGCAACATCCACAGGCCTCATACAGGTGAGGACTGAAAACAAAGTGCAACGCAAGCCAAGCTATTATTGGTGACTCGGAATGGACAGCTCATGTCTCAGCAATGCCAGGCAAAGATGCGTTGACTCACTGCTATGAGTGCATCGCAATAACTTTTGATTTGAATGCAGCACATAGGTTGACCATGTGGTGATGGTGGGCTTGTGTCTGTTATTTGTGTCGGCTTTTGCATGTGTGGGTTTCCTGTACGATAGAGTGTGGAGGGAGGCGACGTGGGATGGGGTGGGGTGCGTGCGTGCGTTTGTGTGTATGTGGTGTGTGGGGGTGGCTGCCTGCATGCCTGTGTGTGAGACTTGTTTACTGAGGTAGTGAGGCTGCCATTTTTTCACTGTGTGAGAGTCAGAGATCTCCCAGTGACACAAAGACGGCGTTTTAGTCCTCCAGGGTTCATAACCTATATTATCTCTGTCGCGTCAGTGGCTCAGCACAGCGTGACCTCCTTTCATCCACTGACCTGACTCTTGTCTAGGCCTGGGCTATATCCTCTGAGTAACAAGCCAATAATAGCATTGACACCTTCTGCAGCTTGGCCACACAGCGTAGCTGCGTGCTAACGGGAAACACTCATCTCATCACCTCACCAAACTACAGGTGCAACGCTGAGATCTGTGTGTAAAAAAATGCTCTTTTTACTCAGACAGAGAAAAGGTGTACAACACAGGAAGTCCTTTTCACGTTTGCTCCATTTCTTGTTTCTACTCTCGTCTCTTTTCCTCCCTCTTCCCCCCGTCTCGTCACCCTCACTCCTCCTCCCTCTGCCAATCGTCTCTTCACCCTCTGCTTCCCCTCCCTCTCCCTCACCGTTCGTTCTTCTCCTCCCTCTCCAAGCAAGTTTGGCCCAAAGAGACAGGTCGGCAGCACCACTGGTGTGTTACTGTCCCCATGGCAACCACCTCCTACCCCCTCTTTCTCTCCAACCAGCTCATTTCTCCAAAGCACATGCGTGTGGGTAAACACACACACAGTTACTCAGACTCACACATAACTCCATTGCCATTTAGTCTCTGGATCTAGCGGCGCTTGTTTGTTCCACACACCCCTGTGAGTGGTATTTGGAGAGTCCCTACCCTGCTCCTATTTCAGTGCCTCCCTCGCGCAGTGTTGATGTCTCCCTGCTAGGTGTGGTAGCCGTCGTCAAGGCGCGCTATTGGCCGGAGTTGATGCAGTCCCTTCCTGTTAACTCGGTGCCCCAGTCCCTGTCCAGACATCTGCTTGGGCCATTGTCCCCTGCTCTCTGTGGCTCCTGTGCTCGGCCTGTAGAGGCCTGAGGCAGGGCTCCCGTATTCACTGGAGGCAACACAGACATGGACAGATAAACAGGCCTGAAATCCTGGCAGATGTCATCTTCTCTTTCAATGAGACCTGAGGTACCAACCCCATCCCCCAGTGTTTTCAAGATGATTATTAAGTCTGCACCAAAGCAAACCCTTCGCCACCTACAATGTACTTGTTTTGTCAACAAATCCTTCGCCGTGTTGTCTTTATTTATTCCCACGTGAGCCCTTGCTCCAGCTAACCACCTCCTGTCAATCAACTCAAGGATTTAACTTGCTCTCTCCTCTGCCATGGCTCACATCTCTGAATGCTTACACATATTGCACATCTGAACTTCTTTCCACTTCCATTTTAATTTTTACATGCCACTGGCAGCAGTGAGAAACCCTCAGTGACAGCGCTGCAACGGTGTCACTCCATCTTCATCCCGGTCCCATTTCTGGGCTGCTCTCAGGTCAGGGAGCAGATCGCTGCGTGGGTTGCAAAAGGCTGCATTGCTGTGGCCACTGCCAGTGCATGTGTTAAAACTGGGTTGCTGAGAGGGGAGGGAGAGAGAAATGGCGGAACACCATGCTCTGTGCTGTCCAACCTAAAATGGCTGACATCACAAGCTGTTAACCAGCCAAGCAGAGCAAGAGGCTGCTACTGCTGCTGCTGACCCAAACCTTCACTCACTCTGGATGTGCGTGAGGAACACGCTGCCATCGAGCTCCAAAGAAGAAAACGGTCATTACTTGGGTCAACACAGAAAAGACACCAAAGTGACACTGAAGAAAAGTGAGGATCACTCACTTTGAGTACGACATCAGCAGAAAAAATAATAAAGGGAAAAATAAAGAAATGAAACAAACAACAAAAGTACGTGCATCGTCAATTTAAAATATGATTATTTTCACATGGTGTTGTACTGATGAATCCTTTCATACGAGGCTAAAACTGAGGGAGAGACAGGGAGGGAAAGAGAAAGAGGGGTGGGAGGTGTCGATGGGGGGGCAGGAGGGAGGGGGTGAGTGAGCGAGTGTGTGAGTGGGACTATTCAATGAGATGTGCAGCCACTGAGCTCAATCCATCACCACGGAAACACAATTAAATACAGCCAGAGGAGGAGACATAGTAATAATAATAATACAACAATACAGATGTTAGGAACATCCATGACTGACAATTCCGAATGAGAAGTGTTGTTATTCCAGTTGTGTAGTGTCAACAACACAAGTCAATACACAAACTGTGACTCGGAGTGTGATAGGTGCTGTTTGAATGATAGATAAATTAACAAAATACTGGATTAGGCTGCATGTCTTTACCTGCATGTCTTTACCACACGTGAGCATCAGACACAAATTAGCAGTCTGAGAAAGATTTAATCTAATCCCTGGAGTCACACACACACAAACAAAATAACCAAGGCAACAACCTTCAAACTCATAATTTAAGTGTAACAGTGTGGCAGCCTTGATTTTAAAACTGAATCTGTGAGAACAAATATCACATAAACATTTGATCAAATCCTGACAAAAATAATAAAATCATATTAATAAAAGCACATGGGCAGACTACAGTAAATGATCGCTTCATTTTTTTAAAGGGGAAACTATAATATAGTGTATTAGTCTGAAGTGAGAGGAAGTCAAAGTCATTTTTAACTTCTTTATTCATAGCTCACACTGGAGGAAATATTGAAATCCAGCCGGTAGATCTCGCAGCTCTGGACCGACATCATTAACACACAGCTGCTGTGTTACAAACTGTTTATTTACCTGAGAACCAACAGCTGGATCGAGCCCGGCTCAGACTCACTGCGCGGCTCCCTGAGCGCAGCGGCGTCGAACATTTCCGAAAATGATGCGTGTTCATCTTCCGCTCAACTTAGTGAGTCCCAACTTAAAGGGGCTCGTGTGCGGTTCGCGTTCGAAACAGTGAACCCGATTCAATCAGGGGAAGACCCCCCCCCCCCAGCCCCTAAAAAAAAGCTATATACTCTCTCTCTCTCCCCCCGTTGACTGTCGCCATTTTAAGCAGGCGACATGCAGCTGGACCGAGCCGCCGCAAAGGTAGACGGCTCCAGCGATAGCGCACAAGTTTGGAGTGGAAACCGAAAAACACACTCACCTCGCCTGGCTGCAGCTCAGAGTCCGCAGCGGAGCGGTTCACATCTGAAGTTTACAATGGCAGGAGCCAGAGGAGTGAGACTGACGGGAGGTTAGGGCTTCACTGATGGTAACTTAGAGGTGGAAGACCCCCTCCGTCCATCGGCGGGTTCGAACCGTGACACCGGACCGGTCCCTACAATGCAGCCCCCCCCCCAGCCCCGTCCTCTCCTCTCGGCTGGGCTGCGCTTGTTTGTCCTGGGTGAGCTCCGGCAGCCAGTGGAGGACAGAAGACACGACGGACGTACCGAGGGAAGAGGCGGACACGTGACGCATACGTCACTGACGGTGGAGTTGGCGTGAGAGCTCGAGCTCCTCCGCGGCGCAGAGAGCAGGAGTGAGTCAGACATCCCGACATGAGCCTGACCGGGGGGGCGACACGGGGCTGCCGCTGCCGCCGGTGCTGCTGATGGGTCAAGTTCTCCACAGCGACAGAACCGGTCCCGGTGAAAGGTGATGTGAGACTCACCTGTCTCTCCCCCCCCCCCCCAGGTGTCCTCTGTTAAAGAGACAGTGAACACATCATGTCAAAAGTTATGATGCCTGCAACCCCTCATGACAAACACACAGAATTCACTTTATATATTCTAATATACTCACATATACAAAATATTTCATGTATATAACCCCTCATGACAAACACACAGAATTCACTTTATATATTCTAATRTACWYACATAKACAAAAKATWTCATGTATATAACCCCTCATGACAAACAYACAGAATTCACTTTATATATTCTAWTRTACATAYATAKACAAAASATATMATGCATTCAACCCCTCATGACAAACAGCTACTGTGCACATACAGAAGTCATGATATATTTACTGATATACACACATCATGTCAGAGTTTATAATGCATAAAACCCATCAACAACTACTGTGCACATATAGAGAAATCATTTTATACATACTAATATACCCATATTATATTTTATTTATCCCAAATTGGGAAATTATTGAAAAAACAAAACAGCTAGTGTGCACATACATAATTTTACATGTAGGCCAATTAAGAGACTATGTCAAAGGTTTTCCCCCCATGTGAAACAACACATACTGTGTACTAATGTACAGAAAAATGGTGAATTAAATGTAAAGAAAAACTGTCCGATAGCCTCCTGACCATCCCCATGTGAATGCACGCTCAGGAAAAGGATCAGCCAAATCACTCAATTGACAGCATTTAATCAGGCCCAAGTAATATATCCCTCAGTTAAAGTCAAATAACGTCTACAGTGATGAGCAATAGAGGATGGAGCTGTAAAAAGCCCATCACCATAAGGCCCTCTGCTGGGCAGCAGAGAGAACGACAGAAAGATCACTAAGCTAGAACCAGCCGAAGAGGCAGTAAAGTCATGTCAAGTTACTCGATGTAGGTGAGCATCCACTGAAACAAACAAAAGCCCACACTGTCCAGTCTGTGCTGCTTGAATATAAATACTGTCTGTGTTTCTTTCTCCACTATGAAATCAGTCAATATCAGTGGGGTTTGGACTGTTGGTTGGAGAAAACCAGACATTTTACCAGATTAAAAGCAGCCACCAGGGCCCCCAAAGGTCCCAGATTTACTCCATCATTCGGGCCAAAACAATTCATCATATGCATTGATCAGGTTTATTTGTTGTGATTGCATTGGTGAAGTAGAACACGAGCTACGACAGGTCTACATCCTGCATCTTGTGGTGGGATCATGCACAAATCTAGTTGTAGGACCTTTGTTGTTTTAGTTAATATTGGGCTCATTTGGAGTCAAGTTTTATTTTATCCAACGGCTTCAGCTTTTGCCTGTGTCAGGTTATTACGTCACAGAATCCCTCAGGCAAGGTAGAATCAATCCATCATATATGTGAGGCTGCAAGCAGCATGTATTTTCATTATTAATACAGCTGTTGCTTTATTTAATAACCAATAGACAGAAAATGGATGTTATTATTCCCTAAAGCCCAAATAAACATATTAAAACTTTCTTTTTTTGTCTGACAAGTGGCAATGATGAGAGCTTGTGTGCAGTGTGTGTGCACGCAAACATGAACACCACTCCAGAGGAGGATATCAGACAGTAAGGCTAAACAAATTGTGTAAATGACGTCGTTTCAAGTTGAATTTGAATGTCAGGGCACTTGGATGACACCACAGGAGCAGTATGGAGGCAATTTTACGTTTGAAGAATCAGTCACATTTCATTCAAAAGTTTATGGACTCAAACACTTCACCCACCTCTCCACCGGCATAGTGGTGAGTAGATAATCCCTGTATCTTTCTTTAATTTACAGTTCTGTATTCTAGTGTGTGGTGGGAGGTGAATCCGGCCTCCAGTACTGACTCTAGCAGGTCTCCACCGCTGGGGGTCGCTGTAGGATTTAATAGCAGCTCTCAGTAGCGGTGCAGAAACGTCGCAGTCTCTGATTGGCTGCTGGCGGCTCGGGGTCAAACAGCTTCGCGCATGCTCAGAAGCTCTCACACAGTGAGCGACAGAAATCTGTCACATCAGCGGAGCCTTCATTCCTCTGATACCTCCACATATTGCTCCTCTGCTCCTCCGCTCCTCCGCTCCTCTCCCTCACATCTCACCCCCGAGCTCCCTTCAGATTCCTCCTCGGACTTTTCGACCTGTGCAGCGGCAGAAAACAGCGAAGGATGACGAGCAGCTCGAAGAGGAAAGAAGAGAGCCATCTGCAGAATGGGGGAGTTAAACAGTCCGCGTGGAGCAAAGCCCTCAACAGTAACGCTGTTTGGGAAGAGAAGGTCAGACTCTTTATCATTTATACTCTGGCCATTGTGTTGTTGTGTTTGCTTTGAGGTGTCCATACAATTAGCCATGCAGCTAATCTGCTGTTAGCTCCCCATACAGTAGCTATGGGGAGCTAGCTGCCACGCTAAGGGTTAATCTGGCTCAGTTGTGTCTGTCTGTCAAATCTGAAGAAGAACTTTTAGATGTTTGGGACAAAAAAGTGTTGGTTATGTTTCCTTCCTCGTCAGTATCAGGTCATCATATCGTTGAAATGCTTCTTTATAATTCCCACGATGTTGTCTCACACTAATTGATTCTGCTGTAAAGTAGTCAAGGCCCATCTTATAATCATCTTAAGAAAGAATGTATAAACTGTGAGAGGCTGGGTGCTCACAAATTATATACATACATTAGTAAATATCTGTGATTATCACAATACATGTCACATGTTATTTCTTTTTAATTTAATCCCAGATTTTAGCTTTTGAGTCAAAGTTCTTCTTCTTCGTGAGCTGAGAACGATAAGGTAACTTCTTCAAATCGCTTTTGTTCTCAGACCAACAGCCCAAACCTGAAAGATAGTCTATTTAAACATTCAACAGCACATCATAACCTGAATTAAACCTTGACCCCAAACCACAGAGGTCATAGCTACTGGGGACACTTTCTTAAGCAGAAACTGACACTGAGAACAACAACTGGTGACAATCTCACCATTCAGTCACAGCATTTGCTTATCCATTCCTGTTGTGCACAGTTTATCTTTGTCTTTTCCCACTTGTAGGAACAAGAGATAGATGAGCACAGAGTACCTGCATCAAGGCTAGATCTGGAAATGCTTTTCCATCGCAAGAACACATGCTAGAAGAAATGTATGGTTCAGGAAAGATCAGAAAAACTAGAATGGCCCTCAGTATAGCTCATACTTTCGTCCAGGGCCCCTTCTCGCAAAGAGGAATTCTTTGATTCTCCCCTACGTCCAGATCCAGGCCTAAATGTATCATGGTACGGTGGCTGAAAAAAGCCTAGCTTCTCTGGAGCCACATTTAAATCTGCTACAACCAACCATTTTATTTGGATCTGCACCAAATTGCACACACTTATAGATATCAGACCCCTAATAATGCATGTGTTTTTCCATCCAGATGATTGGTGAAAATGTCAAAAACGTCCCAATTCACAATGTTGGAAAAAGTTATTTGAAAAAATACCAGGATCCGTGCCAACATTGAATGTTTTCTTTCTTGGCCCATGTCCCATCCTTTCACTAAAGATTCATAGAAATTCATTCAATATATTTTGCCTTACTCTGCTGACAAACCAACCAATAAACAAACAAATGGACGAGGGTAAAAACAGAACCTCCTTGGCAGATGTACAAGTACATGACTTCAGGAAATACAATGCACCACTATGTTAAAGCTGGTTGTATTTCTTTTTTTACAGGATGAGTTTTTAGATGTGATTTACTGGCTCCGACAAATCATTGCAGTAATCCTTGGCGTGATATGGGGAGTTGCACCATTGAAAGGATTTCTTGGAATAGCCATGTAAGTATTCTGTCTGCCTTTCACTGAGCCTGTATGTCCTTAATAAAACACAGACAATCTAACATCTTCACTTGTCCTGCTAGATTCTGCATCATCAACGCCGGCGTCCTTTATGTATACTTCAGCAGCTTTCAGCAGATCGATGAGGAAGAGTACGGTGGCACGTGGGAACTCACCAAAGAAGGCTTCATGACTTCTTTTGCTCTGTTTCTGGTGAGGATGCTAATATTGATTGAAGCTTACATAGCCTTTTTTACTACAGATATTGTCCCCAATCATTTACATTATATTAAGGAATTATTTTTCTTGGCCTGTCTGGACAGGAGGAATGATAAGTGACTTAAAAACTGGTTCAGACTATATACTAGAATTCAAGGAATGCAAAATATAAATAATTAACCCATTCCTTCATGTCTTAGAACACGAACATGCAGTAATTATATTCTAAGAACTAATTGTAGTGTTTAATAGTCATGTCATAATTCTGGAATGAATCAACAAATGAATGTTTATTGCAGGTTTATGACAGATTCAGCAGTTTGTGATTCATTTAATCATCAACATCTATTCTGTGTGTTATTGTCTTCACCAGGTGGTGTGGATAATCTTTTACACAGCTCTACATTTTGACTGAGAGGAATCCATAGGACACTAAATACGAACATTTCTGTTGAAGCAAATTATCAAAACACAGGAACTCCATGAACTGAGGGGGTGTCACCGCTCCTACATACAGTATGACTTCTCAGTGTGCAGTGCATCATGGGAATCCTTGTGTGAATAACAAGATACTGCAAGACCATCATGATGAACATGCTCACTTATTGTACATTCTCTTAATTTGAGTGTTCCTTTTTTTAAGGCATTCTCCAGTACACTTCCCATTTGTTATATTTCCTCCCTCAATTCATCAACATCGTCTGTGACAGACCAGTAACGATACAGAAAGCAGCTCAGCAGTACAATAAATGCTGGAAAATAGGAGGAGGATGATTCATCTTGTCACCTTACTACAGGGCCCTTCTTCTGCTTTGGGAGAGTGACATGAACACACTGTAAAGACAACAACCAGTGTGTGTATTCAACCCGGTTTACTGCTCATGAGCTGCTCACTTAAATCATAGAAACTGGACGAAACAAAAAAAGTCTTGTCACATAGTAATCATGATTCAATCAGTCCATGAGTGTAAATGAGTGTTACCGTTAATGTAGCGACAAAATGCACCATATCAGATGTACTGAACTACTAATAATGCATTCATTATGTGGATTCACTGCTGAATTTTACTTTTGGAAATCTGGGCTGAAGAAAACAAATACATAATGAGAGGTATGACAGTGAAGTACCTTTTATATGTTAATGTTACCAGTTATGTTATTTGTCTGGTTTCAGCGGGGGAGTCTTTGGTCATGAAAATGTACAGGTGACTCTGTGCTACATTTTTTCTCCATTTTTTGCTGATAAATATAAACAAATAATTTTGAATTTAATCTGTCATTTCTTCTCAAGAGTGTAGACTTTGTGAAATATTGTGGTTGAAGTCGCACTAATTTTAACATCAAGCGAAATGGTTGTAAGATGTTTATATCCTTATCCTATATCTTATCCAGTCCCTAAGTCAGTATCTGCTACCAGTATCAAAAAGCTGTTAGGCCTGTTAGGACCTCATAACAATCTGATTTTTCTGCACACCCAGATAACTTCTTTAAACAAAGAGGGAGGGATCATGCATGTTGTGTTCAGATGCAAATTATTCACAGTCTCAAGCAAAAACCTGGTCTGTGCACTGCCATGATTTACTGTTCTGAAACCTACCTTTCATTGATTAATGACATTAGTTAGGAGGGTAGAAATAATTTAAATTAATTTGTTTCTTAAATGTAGCTTCCAGATCAAAGTCTTACCTGGAATTAATTTAAACTTGTCTGTAAATTCTGTATCATGTCCCTTTTTGTCAAATTCACCTTGTATTGCATAGATTTATTTGTGTTTATGTTATATCTTGTCTGATGTAACATATTTCTCAGTATTTTATAGTGAAGGCCTATTAAAACCAGTTCTGACAAAGTAATTGTAATGATACTGTTATATTAGATACACAACTGGTGATTGAAAGGATTGTATTTTCTGATCAAATTTTTGGGAATCATTAAACATGGTCTTTATTTGGCCTCCATTTTCAAAGAAATGCTCTTGTGTTTTTGTTTTTTTACTGAAACTTTTTTTTGTAACTTATTCATTCATGGATTTTCTTTGCACCTTTGCATTGAACCATATGCTGGCATTGCTAAGGTACAGATTTCCCCTTATTGAACTGCAGTCTATTTTATATTATGGTTGCAGCTAATTATTTTTAAATTAATCAATTGTCTGTGGAGTGTCATTAATGTCCTCCTTGTGTTCTCTTTATCTGACAGTTCAAAATGCTAAAGTTTTTAGTTTACGTTTATATAGAGGAAAGCTGTAAACCTTAATCTTTGAGAGGCAGAATGAGGATTTATTATCATAAAAATGATCAATAAGTGTCCTTACAGTCAACTGCCTGATCAGTTGACTACTTCCTGCAACTCTAGTTTAGACTGAAGCCAGCTTTTTGATATTCCTATATAATGGAAATCCATTGCTGCCAGCTATTTACTACACTATCTACTGTATATACTAGTCCTTAACCAATTTTTTAAATACATTTTCATAACTCCTTTTAACATCCCACTCAACCCATCAATGCCAACAGGCCACAACAATATGCTTAAGAAAATATCAAACAAATACAAATACACAGCATAAAAAATACAAATGAATAAACAACAAAAACAAACAACTTGAATGTAGATAAGATAAACGAGAGAAGATGGAACTTTATTGTTACTGAACGAAATTCCTGTGAAAGATATTGTTCCAAAGTTACACTAACAAAGAATAAAATAAATAGAGTATTGAAAAAAAGTGATGTAGAAAAATATGAAGTGTATAAGAAGCAAATGCAAGCAGACCACTGCCTATAACAAATAACAATACATTAAATACATGAATTATTCACCAGTCATTAAATACATGCACAGTCCTAGAACTTCTAACTTGATCGAGTATGAGTAAAATACAAAAGGTGTTTTTCTTCTCACGACAACATTGTTTCCTCTCGTTTTAAATTCAAATCAAGTTGTTGCCTGAAGACGAGTTCAAACCGTTCAAACGCGCTGACGTCACTCGTAATATCTCCGTGGAAACCACAGGCCGTGACGTCGCACGCAAAAAGCATGTGACGTAGAGAGCAAGATGGCGGCTCCCCTTTCCACGATGAAATTTTGGAAGCCGGGTAAGTTGCAGATAAGAAAACATTCCCACGTTTGCTGGAAGTTTTTCGGGCGTGTAGTTTATTAGTGTACACATGCTAACATGCTAACGGTGAATTAGCCTCGCTCCGGCCGCAGCCTCCTCCACAGCCGCGGCTGCGTGGTCCCCTGCAGCCCGGTAACGTTAGCTCTGCGGAACCCAAGTGAAAAGCTGTCAGAATGAAACAAACGCAAAGTAGCGATGCGGTTTAAACACCACTGGTTAGAGACTCGTGTGTCTTTTGTTTCGTGGCGCTGACACTGCGCTGAAGCTTGGCCGCTATCCTCTGTAACTCCTCGGCTCTTTACGATAAATAAAACATCTCCACCATCTGCTCTGCTCCAGGCGCCGAGGCTCCGGGGATCTCTGAGGAGCGGGAGCTCAACACGGAGACCAGCGGCTCCCCCGTCATCTTCAACCCGCACACCGCGCTCTCCATCGAGAAGCAGCGGCAGAAACTCCCCGTTTTCAAGGTTGCACTGTAGTCTCACTGTTTATAAGTGGCTGAAACTGTGATGAGGATAGATTGGTGCCATGATGCAGTGTTATAATGAGCATGATGATAGTGATACGCTTTAATTGTGTTGCACCTTTCATACGAGACACGAGGCTGAAAGTGCTTCACAGATATAGATGCAATAAAAACATGTTAAAATGTAAATCAAATAAGAAAAGAGCAGATGTTAAGAAACATGATATCATGTTAAAATGACATTCAAACGAAAAGGAAACAGAGAAGAAAGAAAATGATAGAAAATAAAGATAAGAGTGCAGGAAAGTGAAAGATGTAGTTAAAGGCTGAAGTCCTGTATTTTCTTTCTGCTATCTAAACTAAACCTTGGCAGTGGTGACAATTCTAACACAGTGAGGAGATATGACACATAATTGATCCTCCACCGGTTTGTAAAGTGTTTAGTTGTTTATGAGGTGTTTGTGTTTCTCATAAAGAATAGAATAAGATTAAGATTCCTATTTTTGGTAAAACTACATTCTTCACTCAGAAGCAAAGATCAGTCTTTAAGCTTGAAAGAAAGAATATTCTGATATTTGTTGTGATAATAATCAACGTCAACTGATGTGAACCTTTCTGTCTGGATATACTTTTACCTGTTTTTCAGGGTTTCACATCTTCCTCTTTAACATGCTTGAGTTAACTTTCCAGAGTGACAAGAGCATTGAATGTGGTAGTGGGTTTTGGCCTCTTTAAGTGATTTTTTTTTTTTAATGGCTGTTGATGAGCTTTCTATTGTCATTTGCTTCCTAATCCAGCACAGAAACAACATCTTGTACTTGGTGGAGAGCTTCCAGACTGTCATCATAGTGGGAGAGACAGGATGTGGAAAGACAACACAGATACCTCAGGTTAGTATAATTCTGAAAGGAGCAACGTAATCTCTTTTCAAATTCGCATATGCAACCAGTTTAATAGCCACAAAGCAGAGCACTGTTTGATACCTGATATGGGTTTTAAATCACCTTGTCTTGATGCTTAGTTTGCCTTTTTTTTTTTGCAGGATTTGGACAACATCAGCCAGAGTTACATTTATGCTTAGGGTGCAGTTTTGCAACATCAATGTCTCTATCTCATCCTTTGTACTCCTCTTCTTCTTCTTTGGATCTCCCTACCTCCTCTTTTATCTGCCTTCTCTCAGTACCTGCTGGAAGCTGGCTGGGCGGCAGAGGGGAAGGTGATCGGAGTGACACAGCCCCGCCGTGTGGCTGCTATCTCTGTAAGAGCTCTGCTGATGTCCTCTGACTGTTCTGCTCCTTCTGCTGTTTTAATGTCATTTTACTGCAAAGACACAATCCTGCTTCATTCACTTTATATTTTCCCTCCTCTTTCCTGCTGATAGGTTGCCAACCGTGTTGCAGAGGAGAGGGGGGCCCTGCTGGGACACGAGGTGGGCTACACCATCCGATTTGACGACTGCTCTGATCCTCACGCCACAAGGATCAAGGTATTCCCACCAGATGAATGTGGTTTTCTTTTGCTATAGTTGGTTCCTCTCAGTGCTGAAACTGTCCCTGTGTCCTTCAGTTCCTTACAGATGGTATGCTGGTGCGGGAGATGATGGCTGATCCTCTCTTGAAAAAATACAGGTACAATTAAGTGAATTAAGCCGTTCCATAGGCAGTTTTCACAGCAAATATTTACAATATGACAGTAGCATCACAGTAAGACGGATTCCGATTCAAATCCCTGTTTGGCTCTGGTCTTGCTGGAGTTTGCATGTTCTCTCAGTGTTGGTTTGGGTTCTGTCCAGGCACTCCAGCTTCCTCCCTCTGTCCAGAGACATGCAAATTGGGGTTAGGTTAATAGGAGACTCTAAATTGTGAATGGTTGTTTTTCTATGTTTTGTTGGCCCTGTGATTATGGCGGCGACCTGTCGAGGGTGCACCGTGCCTCTCACCCAATGTCAGCTGGGATCAGCTCTAGCTCTGCCTGCGACCGTCAAAGTATAAGCGGGATAGATGATTGATGGATGAATGGATAATTTGACAGTGAGCTAATGTGCACGACACCAGGAGCCTGAAACCGAAGCAGCTAAATGCAGCTCACTGATCATTAGTTAGTTAACGACTCCTAATTAATTTGTCAAAAATGTCGTCTTGTTATTGGACATGTGAACTTTTGAAGATTTTGTCATCAAGACTGAGTTGGATTCACTTCAACTCTGTTCTTTGTTGTGCTTTGATCCTCAGTGTGTTGATGCTAGATGAAGCGCACGAACGAACCCTGTACACAGACATAGCTATTGGTCTGCTGAAGAAGGTAACTCCAGCTGATGCTGTCAATAGATGAAATCTAAGCTTTACATAGTCATATGTTTCTAGCCATGAAAATAATGTCAGAAACTTTAACCTCTCCTTTTATTACCCTGACTCTTCTTACCTTTGCCGTATATTTTTTTTCTTTGAGTAGATTCAGAGGAAGCGGCGAGACCTGCGGCTGATTGTGGCCTCTGCCACTCTGGATGCCAAGGTGACTGCATGATTAAGATGAACAGATATGCTTGGTTGGCGAGTTGATTTCAGGTCAGATCACGTTGTACTGACATCTGCAATACACTGATGAAAGAAAGACACAATCAGGCCACTGCCGCGCTCAGCGTCAAACAAGTCAGCTGAATCGCTGCATCAGACATCTACTGTACTTTTTGATTAGGATGCTTTAATCTGCACTTTCAGATTACTATGTTGCACCACAATATTAACTTACATGCTTTTAAAAAAGTCCAATTGAGGACAGCAAGAGAATTTCTTTGGATCGCTGCTACAATTTTCTAAAAAAAGGAAGACAACCCTCCTCAATGCTTTTTTACTAACTGTACTATCACGTTTCTTCTGAAGAAATTCCATGACTTCTTCAACCTGAACGAGTCTGGGGATCCCAACAAGGACACGTGTGGTATTCTGACAGTAGAAGGACGCACGTTTCCAGTGGACGTCTTCTACACTGTCAGGTGCTCGACAAACAGATTTCAGTTTTCAGGAAATAAATTTGTGTAATTACTTTAGTATTTATAAGTCTTAAAATCTAAAATGTCTTCTGTTTGTTCTCAGTCCTGTGCCAGACTATGTGAAGGCCACAGTGGAGACGGTGCTGAAGATACATGAGACAGAGGATGACGGAGATGTCCTGGCTTTTCTAACCGGACAGGTGAGTGCGGCCATATCCTAAGAATACCACTCAACCTTTCTTTAATAACTTCTATTGGACAGAAGACTATAGATTGTACACCAGCATTCCATGTTTTATTTCAATTTGTTATTTGTTCTCATTTATAGGAAGAGGTGGAGAAAGTGGTGTCTCTCCTGCAGGAGCAGGCGAGGTCTCTGTCACGATATGGCATG